CTCGATTGGCAAGAGCCATATTCGTCCTGTGCAACTGAACTGAACTGAACTGAACTGTGGTGCGCCACTTTTGAGTGTACTCTCAAGCGCACTTTTTCAAATTTTTTCTTGCAATGTCGCCAGCGATTTTTCTTACGTTATTCTTATGCATATTCAAAGTTTCCAAATCTGTAGAGTTCACCATTGGTGCACTTGTGAGTAACGAAAAGGTGGCGTCGTCTTTTGAGAAATTGGTTCAATCAATTAGTGAAGGTGTCGAAAATGACGTTATCCAGTTTCGTGGCCAAGCACAGGTAACTGTTTTCTTATAATGACAATTCTTCAGATCTTGTCTCTCAACGCACTGAAAGCTACAGAACAAGTCTGTGATCTCTTCAACGCTACGAATGGTCGAATGCTGGCCTTGATTGTATCACATCCTTCCGGTGCCCCGGGAGCCGCCCCATTGTCGGTTTCATTCACTTCGTCGTTCTACTTTTTGCCTACTATCGGCGTCAGTGCCCGGCAAGCTGTTTTCAGTGATAAATATAGTCATGCCAGCTTTCTGCGTACAGTGCCGCCTTACAGCCTTGAGGCAAAAATCTGGGCAGACCTTATTACCGTGTTTGGATGGAGAGAGCTGTGCTTGATACATTCGGATGACCAAGATGCGAAAGCTTTACTATCTGGTCTAGAGAGAGCCTCCGTTAGGGTCACGACGGGAGAAAAATTATACAAGGTGAGAAGTTCAATAATATATAAAAGCGATCCATAAAATAATATTACCCTACGAATTTCAGGGCTTAATACATGCGTCATAACCCTCTCTTGAACACCATCCGAGTGCCCTTTCACAATATAGCTTTTGGGATTCTGAGGGAACTTATAACCCATATGATAATTTATATGAAATTCTACTCGATAGAACATCGTCCTGCCATACTTTACTCGAAACTATAAAAGAGAGAAAGAAATCATATAAAAATATCTCACCTCGACAGAGTATAAGAAATAAAAACATTTAAGCAGTGGAAAGCAGAGAAATACACAATGGAACAGGAGAGAAATAACTCATACTACTTCAGAAATGTCCAGGATGGAAAGTAGTCAACTACACACGCAGTTGACTCTGTGGATAATTAGTTGTAAGACTTAGCACGACCCTCCCCAAATTTTGATAGGGTCGGTGATATGAAAAATACTAAAGAAATAGGCATTATTTCGTGTATTATCATCCCTACGGTCAACGTAACCACCAGGGCAACACAGAACACCCTCAGTTTCAGAGCTGGTAGGTGAAAATGTGCCGTCTGTGGTACGAGGCAAGGAGACCTACACAGAGGTATGACAGCAATACGAGAGCATGATTGAGGTGTATCAGAGACATGCTTTTTAATAAGAATATGTATTTGTTTCTTACCGGTGCATGGTATGCACTGTGGATAGACAAAGAAGGTGCGGTTATGTTTTGTAGTGATTGCCACTTACCAGTTTCAGTATTCCGTCATAGTTCTGTTTAAACTTCTACTGTTAGGTTTCAGCATGGTACTCCTTATAAAACCGCTAACAGCCTGTGCTACCAACTATTACGTTATTTATCCTCAACTCATTTAAATGATGATTTACTTGTGAGAGGTCCATTTTGTTTTTTGGCCGAGGGCTGAAGGCCGTGAGATTTTAAGAAGCAGGTTTATCATTCCTGATGGAAACAGGTCTATCCCAGTAGGCGGTCAAAAAGCTAAAGATGAAACCTTACTAATATCTATTCATCACCGTCACGAAAAACACTCGAACTGCCTTTGGATCGCTTTGCTTCCAAGAGGAACTCAATGTAGGCCTTGGCTTTCTCCTGCCGGATCGAATCATCTCCAGATCAGCTGAACTGAATTTTCTCTTCTAGTCTAAGTGGCATATTGACCAAACACCAAAGTCGGAATAAATAACAGTACACGAAAAATAAATGGAGGACCTGAATTTTTTCGCATATTCATCAGTAACAATTTGAAACTTCCTGACCAGAACTTTTAGACGCAAACAGAGTCAAGCACATTTACCTTGACTCTAATTTTTCGGCAGTTTATAATCTAATATTGCAACGGGTGAGTTGATCACGGGAAGTAATTTTATTTTGGACCTCCTAACTGAACACCAAAATTTGATTCTTATGTACATCATGGTCGTAAGTGTACGTGGAAACATCTTTAGGTTTATAAGAGTATTTTTTTATAATTTCAATCGGTGTTCTGATCTCTAGTGCATAACAAATTTACATTTTCTTCAGTTCCAATATCACTTCATCCTTTATCTTAACGGCCATTCTCGAAGACTAGTACTACAGTTATCTGTTTTATAAACAAACTGAGCGCAGGTGTGCAGCTCAAACGGGCAATGGAGCGCATCTTTTTTTATTTCATTTTTACTTTCTTTTATTGAATACACAATGGTATAATTTTAAGAAAGGGGGAAGCGGCTAATCAAGAAGCTGCCATACAGCACACACAATGAGGAAATTCAGATGGTGGTGGTGGCATTCAAACACACGTCGTTTGGGATGATAATTTGATGACTTTACCTCCGGGATACCACCATCGAACATTCTTGAAAACTAAATCGCGTTTCAACGTTTCTTATCACGAAATACAGATC